TTTATATTTATACGCTCAATCAATTATTCTATGCCTATGAAAAACAAACCACTCCAATTTGTGCCATCAGCTGTTATTTCGGCGAATTAAAATAAACTAACTAAAAAGTACCTTTTTCTGCCTTTTACACTACTTTATAATACACGAGTTGTACTCTACGTTCAGTCTCTTTCTAGAATTGTGTCGTTCAATTTTTGAATTATACGGCTGTCAATATCGCTGCTCAGCATACGAAAAGTTTAGATGAAAATTTCAGCTGGACTTTCGGAGAATTTTCTGAACTATCATGACTTTCCGATTTTCTCTTCGGTAGAGGTCTGCGGGACTGTCCCGATCCCGCAGGACTTTTTACAGAACCGGGACCTAGACTTTCAAACTATCAGTGCTATTTTGAAAAAATATTTACGGGACCAGGACCGTGGCCAAAAGTTTTTTTCTTCACGGGATCAAACTTCATGGGACCGGGACCAAAAAAGTTTAGTTCCGCAGGCGTCTACTCTTTGGGCCATGATATTCAGACAAGATCCTACAGAGTTTATGTACAACCTTTTCTTGATAGGTAAGTTCTCATGTGCAAGTCATATATCAAGTAAGTTTTATATAGAAAAAACGAAGAAGGAATAGAAAAAGATATGAGAGCGGCAGAAAGAGTGCATATTATTACATATTTACAAAAAGAAGGAAAAAGACTAGATCAGCAAAACAAACAAAAAAATTAGTTTCATTTAACAAGCTACAATTTTGTTGATATTTTTGTAAATTAATCTGAGATGTAATGAAGTATTCTTGTTTCGTCGACAACTCAGTCTCACACCGCCCCTCCGCCTCTGATGTTCTCTGATCTATATTCTTTGAAGCGGCATCGTTGTGCGGTCAATTGTAGCTGGACAAATAAAAAGCGATTTTTTCTTTCTGTTATCAAAATGATCATTGAAAATAATGTGTGAAAGGTCAAGGATTCAAGAAGGTATATGTGTAAAGAGCAGTGAGATTTGCTTTATAATTTGAACCGTTGAAGGTAAAAGACAATACAAGCATATGATCAAACAGTATATTAACACGCGAATAAGTCATGCGTAACAAAAAATCTGCTCGTTTCTATTCCTAATTTTGTATGCAGGCCACCATAAAGTACACGTTATTTCTTCTTATTTACATGTTACCACAATTTACACAATAAATTATACACCAATAATTTTGATCCATTTTCTAAATGAACGACAGTGAAAGACATCGGAAAGCACAAAAGGAGTTTAGTGAGGAGGAAAAACCTTTGGATGGGCCATAGCCTCATCCATTCCTTATGTCATCAACTTTGGAGAAGGGAACCATCAGTTGATGACACTAGGGAGAGGATGAGGACGTGAAATACTGGTATCATCATTGAGAAAAAATTTGAAGAGGCAATGTTAGTCAAAATGGAAGCCGAAATCATGATAATCTTAAATTAATAAATGTCGTCATAAACTTGTCCGTCGAATGGTAAACGTGTCAACACTAGTGTATAACTTCAATTGTTGTATACAATACATACACATGGGATAGCACATTTAGTTTTTTACCGCAACGCTAAGTCCATGTGTTCGAATCTCTATTCATATAAAACTTATTTTATGTGAACACTATAACTCAGTTTTTTCCGCCTGTATTTTGAGCAGGATAAATCATCCATACTTTTTATTTGGGTTTTGTTTTCCAGCTTATTCTTTGGTCCAGAAGAAGATTGGAGCACAAATTGCTTCAGAGATATCAGACGCAATGTTTTTGTCGCGTATGCCTTTTACTCAAAGTTAGTGGCATCCTTGTTCTAATTTCTCTCTGTTTTCCATGGAAAAACTTATTTCCTTGAGAAAAACAACTTCATAAAACTTACATCGACGCTAGAAAAATCGGGAAATGTTTTTTCCAATGACGTCGTTAGAGAGGGGGTCACTCTTGGGAAATGCTGTGCAATGAACAGGAGAGAGGGTCAGAAAAATCGAAAAACTGACGTTGTAATTGAGAATGATCCTAAGCTAGCCATTTTGGTGGACCAGGGGTTAGGGAAGCAGAGACTGGTGGACCAATTGGTCAGTTCGGCGTACCGGGTAGTGCAGAAGGAGAGCTCATCAAGCCAAGTGTATCTGGAAGTAGACAAGGAGAGCTGGGTGGGCCACATGGTAAATTTGGCGGACCGACGCATATTAGTGATGGTCGAGAGTGTGAATGCCGTGATGAGAGATGTGGAGAAGGGAAAATGANAGCTAGCCATTTTGGTGGACCAGGGGTTAGGGAAGCAGAGACTGGTGGACCAATTGGTCAGTTCGGCGTACCGGGTAGTGCAGAAGGAGAGCTCATCAAGCCAAGTGTATCTGGAAGTAGACAAGGAGAGCTGGGTGGGCCACATGGTAAATTTGGCGGACCGACGCATATTAGTGATGGTCGAGAGTGTGAATGCCGTGATGAGAGATGTGGAGAAGGGAAAATGAGTAATGATCATCGTTTGGTAAATTAGATAATGCAGAAAAAGTAAAATATGTAGAGACTAAAAGGACTCTGCGAACAACTGGACAAGAGCAACTTCATCAACTGTTATTTTATTATACTTCCAGTCTTGAATAAAAACTCTTCCCACTACTATCCATTGCAAAATAGAATGAACTTCTAAGAAAAAGTATGTAAACGCTTCTAAAAGTACATTTACAAAAAAATCATCGGAAAAGTTATTCGAATTTCCAAAATTAAGCAAAAAAGGTTAAGTCCATAAAATTTAAAAAAAATCGACTCGTACTTTATTCCCGGCACGTTACCGATTCGAATGGCCGATAAAACTTGATTGTACAACTAGATAGATTTACAAAATGGGCCAAGAGCATTTTCGGCACCCGGCTTCAGATTAACTACATACGATTAATTTTTTGTTGCTAAACTTTAAAACATGGTCTTTTAGATTAGTTTTTGATTCCGAATCGCAATAACATTGTTTTAGAAGGTTCATAAGAAACTGAAGCCGAGATATTGAATTTTTTGCAAATCTGGGCATTCTTCTTTAGTTTTCTCCACACAAGGACATTTTTCTAAATGTTAAAAATAGGGCAAGCACTTTAGTGTTACGTTTCAAGAGTAATAGGTGTGGGGTCCTCACATCTGTTATTAGTTTTGAAGAGTATTATGAAATATCAGCTCGAGGCTAAATCTTAGCTCGACGAGCTCTACTCAACCATCTATAAATATCGAGAAAAAAATGGTGTATCATAGATTCGCTTTAAATGTGTTTTTCTTGAATAAAAGCGATTTTACCAAAACTCATCCTAAACACAAGAAAATTTAACTTTTTCGTCTTTGCACAATAAAAATAGCGGATCTATAGAACTTTTTCCGTTCGGATGCTAAAGCAGGGTTATTTTCCTTCAAAGTAAAACAAATCCAATCTTAAAATGTTTGATTCTGGTTGAGTTATGAAATTTTGCCTAAGTGATCCCAAACTGTAATTTGAAACTGATGATTTTTGGCAAAATCGATAAAAGAAAAAAGATCTCTCTCACAACCTCGTGTGATTTTAAAGACTTTTAAATATAAAGCAGGTTTGTAGAACTTTTCAATGGCTACAAAATGGGTGTCTTCTATTTTATTATATTGCACTATATATTATTATATAAAGAACCAAAATCGAAAAAAAATGTTTTTTGGCCTAGGAAGTAGTCGAGATTGCCTATTTGTCGTATTCCCTTCATATTCTCTGATTTCTTAAGGTATATAGAAAAATGTTCAATATGTTTTCTTGTAGAGAATTAAATGACATATCAGAACTGGGCAACTCTATCTCCAGACTGGGCGATTTTTAAGTGGAGTTGGTGTTGGAATTTTTAAGAACAGAGTTGTCTTTTATTCATTCTTATTCTCAGCTCCGTGTAATTGTTTGTGTTACGCTTCCTTTTCTTCAGAAAAGAGTGACAGATACATAGGAAAATAATCACTATGGTGTTTTTTTTGACATGTCAATATACGACAGAATTCATATCACTCTCATGTGTCAGACGTCTGTGTTTGTTTAACTTCGTGTTTTTCTTAAATTCTATTTTGTCTATTCATTCTTTTGTACATTGAATAGAGAACTAGGAAATAAGAAGATGTCTTTTTTCACATAAGATATGGACGTGGGGACATTTTTTTGGCTTCATCGAGTCGATAGAAAAGAAAGATATGCGTGTGCAAAAAGAGATATCCCATTATTTGCTAGTACCCTACTGTACACTTCTTCATCAGTATAGATTATTCATCATCTTTTTCGTAGCTATATAAAGAAAGAAAAAAAGGAAGGAGGAAAAAGAAAAAGAAAAAGAACAACCGGAGTTGAAACGGAGTTGTAGTTGAATTTCGGCGGAGCTGCCTAGCCCTGTGGCGTATCTTGTAAAGAAGGAATTAAAATTTTACCATATTTCTGGACTGAGATATATACAAAATAAAGAATTTTGATTATTTTGGCGCATCCAGTATATATTGATTTTACTAATAGAAAGCTAGCTCAGAATACGTAGCTATATCGACATCTATTATCTGAAAGCCTACATTTCAAATGAAGTATCTATGTGATAAGAACATCAATTCATTTCTACTTCATGTAAATGGATCTTTGAACCAAGAGAGGCAGTATGAAATGTGGAACACCTACACAACATCCCCCGACACTTATTCCAGGATCAGGTTTTACTCATCGAACTTTAAATCATCGAAGGCTAGCACTTTACTGTTACGTTTCAAGAGTAATGGGTGTGAGGTCCTCACATCTGTTATTAGCAACTTCATAGAGTTTTCAGTAAATTCATCTTTTGTTACATCATGAGAGTTCGATGAAACGACTTTTGTTGACGAGTGGTGGCCACATATATAAATATACTATATAGAGATTAATATACTATGTACAAATTCACTAACGGGAAAAATACAAAACGTCACCCACTCGCTCCCATTGGTCACCAATAGATAGTCTAACTGTGTAGCAAGATCTCTAAAAGGTTGTATGTAAACCTAGAGAGATCCAACAGTGGTTTTACTTTTGAATTGTAGTCCATGCTGACTAGCATTTTCTAGATTTATGTGCATGGATATATCCATATCTGAAGTTTTCGATATTTCATGCTGAA